GATTTCTGCTTTATCAAACTATTTTGAATAGCAGTGACATTTCAAATTTACAAATTAGATGATTAACTTTAGAGAAGCTATTATGAAAATATTTTTTCTACAGCAAATTTCACAGCCATTAGTGTAAATGCAATTTTTTTTTTCATACAGATTGAGACCTTCCTATAGAGAGTAAGAAACACTTTTTTCAACACTATTTTGAATCATATTTTTGGATATACAGATCTTTTTTCAAATAAATTACAGCCTTTTTCTCAATGGTTAGAATAAAGGTTTAAAATACAAAACAGAGTTTCACATGACACTGTTGCTATTATTTGGAAGGAGGAGAGGAAGGAAGAGGAAGTAAGTGGAAGGAAGGAAGGGAGGGAGGCAGGAAGGAAGAGAGGGAGGGAGGGAGGGAGGGAAGAAGGAAGGAAGGGAGGAAGGAAGGAAAGAGGGAGGGAGGGAGGGAGGGAGGGAGGAAGGAAAGGAGGGAGGGAGGGAGAAATACACTATTGTTTCCTAAGCACCTATTATGTATAAGGGATTTTCAATGTTTTACACGCATCATCACAGTTTATGATATAGGAACTAGTATTCTCATTTTGCAGGTAAGGACACTGAAGCTAAGAGAAATTATTTCTCTAAGGTCATGTCACACAGCTAGTTAAAAAATTGCTAAGCAATGAGTCCAACAGAGATTTTTCAAGGTCATTTTATTTCCTTTATCTCAGCCTTTCAAACTTATATTTGTTTTAAGATAAAATTTGAATTGAACCTTACATATACTATGTATCTGAGGAACAACAGTAAAATGGCTGGTGGTGTGGAGTTTCAGAGAAACACACATTATTTTAGTATACTTCTCTCCTCAGAATAACTGACTCTGCTAACATTTTCCCAGAAATAGGCAATAAATTGAGCCTTTCTATGAATAAGTATGCTCCTATATTCAAACAAGGTTTTGGTTATTAAATGTTTGAAATTATATTAGTAATAAGACTACTGCCTTTTTAATATGAAATTCTGAGAACTTGGGCATGCACTTAGCACTCAACATACTCTCTGAGTCTCTACTACATAGAAGATTTATTTATTTATTTGAGAGGCAGTGTTACAGACAGAGAGAGGGGTCTTCCATCTGCTGGTTCACTTCCCAAATAACCACAACAGTCAGAGCTCAGCTGATCCAAAGCCAGGAGCCAAGAGCTTTTTCCGTGTCTCTCACGTGGGCTTAGGGGACCAAGACTTGGGCCATCTTCCACATCTTTCCCAGGCCATCAGCAGGAAGCTGCATCAGAACTGGAACATCAGGGACTCAAATCGGCACCCACATGGGATGCTGGTGCCTCAGGCAGAGGCTTAACCTACCAAGCCACAGTGCTAGTCACCCCCCCACCCCATAAATTTTTAGAATAATTATACACTTCTTTCAAAGGCTGTAAATTTCAATTGTTTAAAATTTTACCTACCTCAGATATTTCAGGCTTTTAATTAAGAGGCCAGGGACACTGAGGCAGGAAGATTTGGGTTCAAATTCTGGCACCAACAGTTATTGCCGATTTTTGGTCTAGTTCCTATGTATTCAGAGTGTAAGTATCTGCTTTTGAAGATTGGAATAATACTTATTACACATTTAAAAAATTTATTTGAGAGGCACAGAGAAAGAAAGAGAGGACAGATATTGCCAGAAAGAGAGCTCTCATCTCTAATTTACTTCCCAAATGACCACAAGCACCAAGGTTGTGACATCCTGTAACTGGCACAGAGGAACTCAATCCAGCTCTCCCATGTGGTGCCAGGAACTCAACTACTTGAACCACCACCTTCTGCTTCCCAGGGTACACATCAGCAGGAAGTTGGGAATCAGGTGGGAGTAGAACTGGGTCTCAAATCCAAGCACCCTTATGATGCAGGATGCAAGCATCTCAACTGGCTGCTTAACCCCTAGGCCAAGTGCCTGTCACTACTCTGCAGCATTCTGAGGACTGAATGAGATTAAATTATGCAGTGCAGCTAGCAAACATCTACAGCTTTATATATTAAGTCTATCTTCCTTGTCTTTACTGTTTCTGCATCTATAGCAGCTACATGTTTATTGAAGTGTCCGTTTAAGTGTTTTTCGAGGAATTAATAATTAATGATATTATGTCACCAGTTTTGATCAGTGCCTTTTGAAATCCTCTAATATTTAATTTACTAAAGGACTCCAATTCTTTGTATTGTGTAGTGGAAGAGTAATATCTCTAACATGGACAACATTAAAAAGTGAAAACATACTCTATATAAAAATATCACAAGGAGATATTTACATATTTGTGTGACATCAAGAATTGAATAATCATAATCTTACAGCTTGAGGTTTACAATTTTTATTATTAACTTTAACTTCTTTGTATTAATATAATGCACTATTTCCATAGCTTTCCCAAATAAAATTCAAGTTGTTATTACAGTGGTTTAATTATATTATTTTAAATTTGTGTATATTTTATTTTTTCTGTAATAACAGCTTTATAGATACATTATTTCAAGCATTTATGTAGGTTTGCTAAAGTCTACCAAGGAGCTTTGTGTCTGGGGTAGATCTGAAAAAGTAAATTAACATTACCAGTTCAGCATATTACACTTTAGCAATTCACACATATAGAACTCCTAGAGGGACTTGAATATCCTCATAGATCCCAAGGAAGTAGAGTCACTGGGCAAGGAAAATAACTTGGTTTGGCTTTCCTCTGCAATGTTTCAGGTAATTTGGTAATTTCCAACTTCTATAGAATTTCTGATACTATAAAGCTTAAGTAAATTGAAAGCATCATCCCTCAATTAAAGAAATAGTTCATTTAATAATTAGTCCCAAAAAGCCATCTATCTCCCCTTTACCCACATGATTCAGCTGTTCTCATCCTCTTGAAGAAGTATATTGATCAATATACACAGAGAACCATAAATTCCCCGATTTTCAAAGAACAGGTGCATTGATGGCTGCTGACAAGTATCATAAGGCTACAGAAACTGCTAACTATAGAAAAGAAATTTTAATGTTTATTCATACAAGTAATTATGGCTAAATTATTCTGTCTCCTTTCCCATGCTACCAATTTAGAATGAAGAACACATGAATACTTCATGGCAACTATTTTTAAAATTCTGTTATATATTAATACAGTATAATCATAAACAGAATAAAAACATTTAAAATTATATATACACACACACACACAGAGAAAGAGAGAAAGAGAGAAAGAGAGAAAGAGAGAGAGAGAGAGAGAGAGAGAGAGAGAGAGAACACGCGAGCTTTGTGACTACTTTAAAGGAGGATACTAGAATCTGGGTATCTTCATGAAATCCCTCTTGTTTAAATTTCCAAAATTAGGTTTAGACTACCAAAGTAATCAGCATCTTAATTCCACTTGAAAAATTTCTTTCTAATACCCATTTTCTTCCCTTCTTCATTTTGTCATTCTAATATTCACTGGAACCTTCACCCAAGGAAACAAAAATAAATAGGAAAAGACCAAGTTCATTCACTTTAATGCTTATCAGTCAACTAAACTAAGAATTTATCTGTAGGGATTAAGAAAAAAGTAAATTGGTAGCAAATACTAAATTAATACACTGATGTTACAAATTACCTTTCTATTTCATTCATCTGTATTAGCAGTCTTCTCCAGGTCTGGCTGTAAGAACGTTATTCAGACATAGACCCTGTATTGTACAGTCTACTTCTTTTTGCACCAAGATTCTTCTGCGCATTCTGTATAAACGTAGAGGGCTCACTGGGGCCAAGTACTGCTGTAGGTGCTGGTATAAGGCAACAAACACCCTTTTCTCACTGATCCTGACTTTCTAATGTCAAGACATAGAACATTCTAAAAAGTACAAGTATACAGCACATAACCTTATGACAAGTGTTACCAAGAAAAGAAGGACATGAAGAACACAGTGAAGGTGGGGGAGTTGGATTTTTAAATTGAGTTATCATTTATCATCATGTTCCTCTCTTGAAAATATTTTAAAATTTAGAAATCTGTCCATTTATACCTCTCTAAGCACCAATTCATATCAAGGAATATAATACGAACAAATTTCTATTACAGAAACTGGATGACAGCTCTCTGCTATGGCCTGGGGGAACAGCAGAGGATGGCCCAAGACCTTGGGAGACCAGGAAGAAACACCTGGCTCCTGGCTTCAGTTCGGCGCAGCTCCGGCTGTTGTGGCCATTTGGAGAGTGAACCAACGGAAGGAAGACCTTTCTCTCTGTCTCTCCCTCTCACTATCTGTAACTCTACCTCTCAAATAAAATAAATAAAATCTTAAAAAAAAAAAGAAACTGGATGAATAACCTCAACATTCATAATTTTAATGACAGATTAGCTATTATTTAACTTTTAAAACAACTGTCTCATACTAATTTCCTATGCTTGCTAGTATGATAACAATTTTTATTGGTAATGTAATAAATTCTCTAATGAACTTGATACCAAAATGACCACCAATAACATCACAGTATTAACACAGCATTAAATTCTTGAAAAAAGATCTGTTTTCATCCCCTGTCTTCATTAATTTACTGAGGTTTTGGGTGGGCAGGACAAATAGCTCTTCAATATATGGTATAAGTGATATCCAGCTACATTTCAACAGTGGCCGAAATTATATAGGGTTCTGCTGTTGTTGCTGTTTTCCCTCTTCAAAAATGTTTACTATAACGGTCAAATACCTCGCAGACAGCTGGGTTACTCTCTGGTGAACATCAGGTCCCTGGGAACTTGGCAGATTGGCCAGAATCCATATTTGGACAGGCTTGGCAGAGGGAGCTTGTGTTTATTACCACCGTAATTTGCCTACCTACCTCAGTGACAGTTATTCTAAGACATAAAAGCTTTTAAGAAATCTCAAGTGCTCTCAAATTACTCATTTCATAACTCTCATTACTCATTTCACAACATTTTACTGAATCAAATATTTTTTAAAGTAGGAATATTAGAAATTGTACTCCCAAAAAAGAATACCTCCATGATGATGTGAGAGGCTCCCTCCGTTAGCAAGGATTTCGTCTCTAGCAGCTGCCTGTATTTGGAAACAACACAAGTCATTGGGACTTAGATATCACTTTGCAGTAGAAAAGTAAGATCCAATCCCCAAAGGAGAGGCACATACTCAGTTTTTCTAGGCTAAATAATAAATTAGAAGCCTATTTTTTCCTCTCTCTTAGATTGTATTTAAAAGACATTAAAATAAAATGTGCAGCCAAACTTTATACATTTTTTTCTAATGAACAGTAACAATGCCTAAAAGACTACCTTGAGATTCTGTGGAAAAAAAGATTCTAGATTCTACTTTGAACTGAACATTATACTAACACACATTAACAATTAGTGCTTACTGACTGCTTGAGGTACATCCTGAAAAGCACCAAGCAACTGTTTTGCAGTCTTTCATTTATTTTTCTATAGCCTTATGGAATAACTGCAATTACTCCCATTTCACAGATAAAGAAAATGTTAAATGATTTGCCTAATGTCAGACAACAGACATTAGAGTCAAGAGTGCTTACAAAGTTATCAGAGATCAATAATAAAAGCCCTGGTGGAGAATATAATAATAAAAGACCTGCTTAGGTCAATGACTTGAGACAAATTACCTAGCAGTCCTATGGATACTGAAGCATAGGAAAATATCCTGTTGTCTTTCCATGTTTTAACCATCCTAATATGTCAAGCCCTGACTAAGCTCCTTATAAAGCACACAAGTTACAAAGAGAAACACAACAAAACATAGAATGACTGAAGTATAGAGTGAAAAAGGGTAACAGAAACCAGAATGACCTTCAATTCTGAATGACTCATGATTGTGTAATAGCCATGAGGGAAATACCTACAGAATTATTCACAGGCATAGAACTATTAGGAGTTAGGCTGAGGTAGAACAGGGCCCAGGCTGGACAGATGGACCACATTTCATTGCAAAGTAATCTCTAAGAACCCTCACTGGGAGTGACTATAGTTCTCAATAATGTGTTATATACCACAAAAAGAGCTAGAGGGAAGAAGCTGCTAGGCTCCAAACGATGGAGAATGACAGGCTGGCTGCATGGCATGGAATATTTTGTATACACACACTGAAGCATTGCACTGTACCCTATAAAGATGTACAAGTATTATATGTTAATCATAACTAAAAAACTTGAGAGAATGGGGGCAGTGCTGTGGTGTAGCGGGTAAAGCTGCCACCTGCAGTACCGGCACCCCATATGAGCACAAGTTTGAGTCCCAGCTGCTCCACTTCTGATCCAGCTCTCTGCTATGACCTGGGGAAGCAGTGGAGGATGGCCCAAGTCCTTGGACCTCTGCACCCTCATGGGAGACCAGGAAGCTGCTCCTGGCTCCTGGCTTTGGATTGGCACAGCTCTGGCCGGTGCAATTATCTGGAGAGTGAACCAAAGGATGAAAGACCTTCCCCTCTCTCTCTCTGCCTCTGCCTCTCTGTAATTCTGCCTTTCAAATGAATAAATAAATCTTAAAAAAAAAAAAAAAACTTAAAGAACTCTCATTACTTAAGATTTAGGATCTTTTCAAATGAATTATAAATATGCTAGCCCTTGCTCTAAGAACTTACATTCCAACAAATTACTTCAAATAAAGCAGTTACCATCTGAGATCAGCAGCACTTAAGAGAATGGCAGTTTGGACTGGGAAAGAAGGAACAATGTCACACTGTAGTACTGCAGGAGAAGGAGCTCTGGATAGCCAGAAAGCAACATCAGAGCACTGAAAGGCTGAAGTGATGAAAAAGTACTCAAACTTTTGGGAGTGACAGATATGGTCATCATTTTGATTGAGGGGATGGTCTCACAGGAGACTATATTATGTCAAAATCCAATTTGCACACTTTATTATTTGACTTATCTATTTGAGGAGAGATACTAATGGTGAGGCTGAGGGTGTAGGTAAGGAAGAAGAAGAGAAGGAGTTCCCATTTGTTGGCTAATTCCAGAATCCCACAATGGCCAGGACCAGCCTGGGCTGAAACCAGGAGCTGGGAACGCAATTTCGGTCTCCCACATGGGTTGCAGGAACCCAATTACTCAAGCCATCACTGCTGCCTTCTAGGGGCTGTATTAGCAAGAAGATGGAATTGGAGTCAGAGGCAGGCATCAAACCCAGGTATTCTATATGTAGCACAAGTGTCATAAACTTCCACCTCAAATTGTATACTTTACATTGTACACTTTAAAAACTATAGTGCACAATGTCTTTCAATTATATTTCAAAAAATTGTAAAAAAAAAAAAAGAGGGGTGGGGTGAGCCAAACAAATCATTTGGTGGCTTAAATCTAAAAGTGTGTGATGCCATTTAAAATATCTTGTAGTGCTATCTTTGGCAGGTACTCAATGGAGTTAAAACACAAGGATATCTGAGTTTTTAAGACATCTCATCTTCCTACAAGTTCCTCCATAGTCTAGTCTGTGTCTTCAACTCTAGGTACACTTGCAAGGAGAAATACTGGCCGTCAACAGAAGGCTTTATAAAAATTAGCTGCTTAAGTACATTTCAGAAATGTAACATAAACTACTAGCCAATGAACATACACTGATGATATCTCAACAACCCAGACCAAAAAGGTTGCTTACCTAAACTTACAGCTATGTCCTAGAGATGGGCAGGCTGCCAAAGTGATGTTAGGGATCCCTATATCACAGGCATTTCTACTGTCACTTAATGCAATCAGTTACTATGTGCTATAAGAAACAACCAAAGAATCACAGACTACAGGTACACAGAATATTAATTTTAGACTCACAATTCAGCACATAAGCCAGTGTATCAAATACACCTGACATTTCTACATACTAGCAAATCAAATGAGATAAATATAATCAAACTAAAATTCATAAATTAATAGTAAAATTTATTAACATTAAGAAAAGAATATAAAAGCAATGATTGTATGCAGAATTACCTCAGTTTGTTCAAACACGGACAGTGGGTCACTAATTCCCCTGTAGTTAAAGGCAAAATAGAAGTAGATACATGCACCTGCATCGTATGTTTGAGTCACCCTAGAAAACAGAAAAAAAAATTCCCACAAGGGCTTTAAGTTAAGAGAAACAGATTTCATGTCTAGAATCTTGAAGGCAAAACCACCTGAATGATTAGCTGAAACTATAATCTCATTCTCTACCCAGCCTCCTAGGTCATGGAAGGAATGAGTAGATTGGCTCTCTTTAGAGTTGTTGACGAAACAGGTGAATTAAAGATGCAGTCAGAAACAAATAGACCATTCATTTAAGTGCCACTTTAGTCACTATTTACAAGTACACATTCGGTCTTTTCTCTTGTCTGCATGTTTCACATGACTAAAACGTCTATCAAGAAATAAAACAAACTTTTAACATTTCACCAGCATTTTATGATGAAATGCCATTTTCAATGACCTCATTGAAATTGGTTATATATTCCATTCCTTGACCCCATCGCTGCTGAAAACAGAAACATAAAACACATGGAATACACATATGGATATGCCAACACTGATGAAAATCAATTTTAATTATCTTAAAAATCCACACTGGTAAAATGTGGGCAGGTTATAACTCTTCAGACTACAGTAAGTGCTCTGACAACAATACTATAAACTAATTATTTGTCTGGATTCTCTTGGCTCAGGAGACTTAAAGATTCTGGGTAGGAAAAACAAGTAAGTCACTAAACTAGAGGTCATAAGAAAGATTGTTCAGCCATGGATATAATTTAAAAAGTAAATGACAATGAAATAAATATCAATGGCTTTTTTTCCCCTCTACAGATTGCTTAAATGCACTAGAAGACGCTCTTCTATGGTTAAAACATATACAGCTTCAGGATAAAGAATGACAAACAGCACTGAAGGATGCTGATAATTCAAGGTTCAGTTTACTAAGCTGTCTGATGATGGACTAGATACTCTGATAAACAGAACACAAAGAAAATATCAACAATTTTATGCCATTAAAAATGAGTCAAGAGGAAAGTGGTCTTCTTCTTCTTGGCTGCCACCATGAATGGCACAAGTGGCTATCCAGATCCACAAGTCAATGACCAAATGTCTGCTTCAGAAACAAATGATCACTGATGTCCTCCACCCTGGGAAGGCAATAATGCCCAAGACAGAAATTTGGGAAAGATCAGCCAAACTGTACAAGTCCACACCAGCGCTCAGGCCATCTCTGTTTGGATTCAGATCTTGTTTTGCTGGTGGCAAGAGAACTGGCTATGGAAGGATTTACAATCCCTAGGATTACACAAAGAAAAATGATCCCAAATATCCGCTTGTAAAACATGGCCTGCATGAGAAGAAAAAGGCCAAGCAAATAGCAAAACGAATGCAAGAACTAAATGAACAAATGTAAGGGAGACTGCAAAGATCTAGGCTGGTGTTGGCAAAAAACAAAGGATAAAAAACTCTGCTCTGACTTTATCTATAGTGACTGACCGTTAACAAGAAAATTAATAAACTGTAAAACCTTAAAAAAATGCAATCTAGACTTGACTCTACAGATGGAAAATATCAAGGTAATTAAATCACAATGAAGGATTTAAACAAATATTACAAAAACCTGGGTAAGTCAATTGGGAAAGGTACCCAGAAAAGGTATACCTTAATGGAGATTTACAGAAAATGTAAGCTATTGCTTTAGGTAAGAAAAATACCACATTATCAAGGTATAGGGTAAATCAACCAAGAGATAATAGAGGAGAGTATAAAAGCCAGACATTCAGGAGCAGAAGAAACAGATGAGAAAACACATGGAGGGAAAAATTGAAGGATGACCTAAAAATAATGACAATTCTAACATCAGGAATCAGGGGGATATGAAAGCCAACAATGGGGCAGTGTTTAGCACAGCCATGAAGAGGCTGCTTGGGCTGCCTACATTCATGTCAGGGTGCTTGGGTTGACTCTCAGCTCTACTTCCAATTCCTGCTTCCTGTTAATGCATACCCCGGAAGGCAGGAGGTGAAGTCTCAAGTATGTGGGTCTCTGCCACACTTGTAGAAGACCTGGATTGAGCTCCAGGCTCCTGGCTGCAGCAGGCATTTAGGAAGTGAATCAGCAGATGGAAGATTTCTGTCTCTGCCTTTCAAATAAAATGAACATTTTTAAAAACAAATAAAACTTGAATTCAATCATAAGGAAATACCAGACAACTAAAATTGAGGGATATGTTATAAACATAATAACTAAACATTTTATATAGTCCTGGACTTGATCCTGAACCAGAAAAAGAAGACATCAGTGGGACAAATGGTAAAAAAAAAGATTTGTAGATTAGCTAACAGTATTGTTATATATACTATAATCATATATAATTGTATGAGACACAAACACCTGAGAAAGATGGGTTAAAGGTATCTGGAACTATTGGTGTTAATTTTGCAAATTTTTATAGATCAGGATCATTGCCATCACCATTACCCCTCATTAAAAATTTAAAACCAATGTTCATGTTTTCCCAATCAGTTGGAAATAAACAAAACCTCATTATCCTCAGGAGAGATTTTTCTTTCTATTAAAACGACTCTAAACAGACAAGATAAAACTTGGTGAACTGTCTCAAGTTTTCTAAGCTGCCTCAAAATTAACAGAATAAGTATAAGAATTTAAAACTCACATGAGAAATGGGAGAAATGTGCAAATACCAAATATGATGTGATTGGGTGAAATACATCATCTTCCTAAGTTCACATTAATATTAAAGGGGTAGATGTGTGGCACAATCGATTAAGTTGTTGCCTGGGATGTCAGTATCTCACATCAGAGTGCCAGATGCAGTCCTGACAACTGCATATTTCCAGTCCAGCTTCCATGTAGTGGACCTGGGAGACAGCAGATGATGTCCAAACAGCTGGATTCCTGTCACCAACACAGGAGACCTGGATGGAGTTCCTGGCTCCTGGCTTTGGCCAGGCCTAGTCGCAGTGGGAAGTGAATTAGTAAATGGAAGAGCTCTCTGTCTTTTCTCTCTCTGTCACTCTGCCTTTTAAATAAAACAAATAAATCTTTTGAAAAATTAAAAAGATTTGGAAAACAAATTGATCAAATCAAATGCAAAGGCATGGCCTTAACTAATTATATCCTATTGTACTATATATAGGGCATCTATAAAGACTTAAATTGAGCAACTAACATACCACATATGGTAACTTAAATAAATATTATGTGATTGAAATATTTGCAGAATTGAAAACTTGGGATTTAATGGGTTAAAACAGCGTCTGTAAACTTTATGTGTAAATAAGGTATATGGGTATCCATCAAGAATGCTAGATTATTAAATCATATTATATGTGTGTATATGTATGATATGCTAATATGATAACTAAACATGTGTTTAGTTGTGTAGACCTGGACTGGATCATATGTATACACTCACATATCTGGGTTTTCAAAATGCAATTAGGAAAGCAGTTAAAACAGAACTAAGGTAATCACAGTCAAATCCCCAAATGCACTCACAAAGGTTCCCACAAAGAATTTAATTTAACAGAAGGAGCAAATATAGAGGAAACACTCTTTTTATTACACAATACAAATAGCATCTAATCTAAAATTTTAATGGCCTTTTAGGCCAAATGTTAGGTGCCTCAGAACAGAAGAAATGAACTGTTTAACAATACTGCTGTCAATTTGCCAGCTGTGTTTTTCTTCTAGTGTTAATTCACACTCATAAAAAAGATCCCTTAAATGTTTACATTTTAAGTACCAGATTTACAAAGTTTAAGAAAAATTGGAGAACCATTTTAATTATGAGGACACTATCATTAGAATTAACCACATTCAAATGAAATTTCAAGGATAAATTATTTTGTAACAATTAGTAAACATACACAATTCATAAGAGAATCATTAATATCAATAAAAAAGTAACTAAATATTAATAGAGCATTGTCACTATCCAATAAATCCAGGATCTATATATCACAAAGTTCAGTTTTCAGTAGACAGGCAGAATACTAAATTTAGTTATAAAATGTTTGATGGGCCTGATCAATCAGTAACATGGACAAAAGCAAAATGAAAATTATTAAAAACACCTTGTAGAAACCTCAATTTGGGTCTACTTTAGAAGTGACTGAGCTCTAATACCTTTTAAAATGGACTAGCTCTATCATTTAAGACACTTAAATTATCCAGACAAGTAATGGTGTGGTTCACAAAGTCACTACACTATTCTTTAATTTCTAAAAACATTATGTAGTTATACTTTTTAATACTTTTTAAGAGTACTTTCCTTGTGTCAGACTCACTGACTAGCAGTTCCTTCTCATCTAATTTCTTCAGAAAATGGATCCTGAAGTGGAATAATACCAGGTCTGGCTTCCCAGATGAGATTAACTAATTCCAGGTAAATCAGAAGAACAAGCATCATGAACAGAAAAACAGATGCTCTTGAACTTACAATGGGGTTACATCCCAATAAATCTACTGTAATGTGAAAATATTTTAAGTTGAAAATGTTATAAAGGCACTGAATACCACTAACCTATCTGAATTTCATAGTTTAGTCAAGCCTAAAAACACTTATATTAGCCTACAGCTAGGCAAAATCATCCAACATAAAGCCTTTTTTTTAAAATAAAGTACTGAATATCTCAATTTATTGAATACTATACTGAAAAACAGAATGCTTGTATGAATACATGTTCATACCATTATAAAGTAAAAAAATTCTAGGTCAAACCATTGTAAGTCTGCAAACCATCTTACATATAGAAAATATTGTGCTTAAGTATATCTTGTTTCAGAAATTCAACTTTAGGTACACTTAATAGATATACTTTTTTTTAAGATTTATTTTATTTATTTATTCGAAAGACAGAGTTACAGAGAGAGGTAGAGACAGAGAGATCTTCCATCTGGTGGTTCACTCCCCAGATGCCCACAACGGCTGGAGCTGTGCCAATCCGAAGCCAGGAGCCAGGAGCTTCTCCCCGGTCTCCCACATGGGTGCAGGGGCCCAAGGACCTGGGCCATCTTCTACTGCTATCCCAGACCATAGCAGAGAGTTGGATCAGAAGTGGAGCAGCCGGGACTAGAACCGGCGCTCATATGGGATGCCGGTACTTTAGCATTAACTCGCTGCGCCACAGCACCGGCCCCTAATAGATATACATCTAAAAATACTTTATTTTTATATATTTTATATATTTTTATATATTAAGTTGTGCTTTTCTATAATAAAACCTGGAGAAGTATTCTTGAAAACCATACACATGTGTATGTGCACACACACACACCCACAAAACAGTGAGCTAGTAATAAAATATAGAACGTTATATTACTACTGTATCATTTATTTTAAGGTTTCTCTTGTCATAATTTGTTCTGATTTCCATTTATTCTCCACTCCAATTAATTCTGTAACTTTTTAAGAAGCCAAATGTTCAACTTACCCTTGACACATAAAATCTCCTGGTATTACACATAAAATATCAAAAGACTGAATACAAGGGCAGGTGCGTGGTGAAGGTAAAGCTATCACCTGAAGTGCTGGCATCCCAGAAGGGCGCCTGTTCAAGTGCCAGCTGCTCCATTTCCACTCTAGCTCCCCGCTAATGCACCTGGGAAAGCAGTGGAAGATGGCCCAGGTCTTGGGCCCCTGCACCCACATGGGAGACCCATAAGAAGCTCCAGGCTCCTTTCTTTAGATCAGCCCAGCTCCAGCTGTTGCGGCCATTTGGGAAGTAAACTAGCAGATGGAAGACTATCTCTCTCTGCCTTTCAAGTAAATAAATACATAAATCTTAAAAAAAAAAAAAAAAAAGAAAACCTCCTTTTGGGCTCCTGTTACTTAACAAAGAGGACAAGATTATCAGTTAGCCACCACTATTCAATACAGAAGATATCAGCCACACTTGACATTTTAAATTTATTTAAAAATTTAATGAAATCTAAAAGTTAGTCCACAGTTACACTAGCCACATTTCAATCACTGAAGAGTCAATGTGGCTTGTGTCTACTGTATTGGACACTGCACAGAATATTTCCATTTACTGAAGAAAGCTATTATTGGAAAGCACCAAGGTAATCGACACTTAAATCTTTTGCTCTTTTATTCTACTCTCATTCACGTAATCAACACAAAAATTGTTTAAGTATTTTTTTCTCTAATGAGAAAAACCTGTGTTGACTATGCACACAACTTATGGTTACATGACTAAATCTTTACTTTATAGTTTTAGTAAATGAAGGAGTCCTTTTTTGCCAGGAGCTCAGACACTAGGCTTCTTACTGTCATGCAGTCAAGACAGGGTAGAAGACTCACTCATGGAAGGGAGTTCTACTGAAGCCCTCAAAACTGCTGTTAAATCCTAGCAACACAATCTTAACAGCGGTAAGTGCAGTTAGGAAAGCTTGCCAAGTGGAACAGACTGAAACTCTTTCTCAGCTGGCAAATCATATTTCCCTATTGAGTGAAAAAAACAAAGAGTTTTTCAGGATAAGGAGTATAAGAACAATAAGGAAAACACTTACCTGCATGTGGAAAGAGGAGCAAATTGAACACCCCTCTCTTTGCATTCCCTTACTATTCTTTCTTTGACATTTCTGCAGAGATCTATAACCCTAGAAGAGATAAAACAATATTAAGTCTTCAAATGAAAACTACACATTTTAGTAAATTGCTGGCATCCTTCAAGTCTGAAGTTTGCAACTAAAGCTTTTATAGTCATTGTTTCAAGAGCTACCAAGAGCCTTGATCATGTGAATGAAGCCCTCCATTCATAACTTTAAAGAAGAAAGCCGCCATCTGCAGCACTGACATCCCATATGGGTGCTGGTCTGGCTGCTCCACTTCCCATCCAGCTCCCTGCTAATGTGCCTGGGAAAGCAGAAGATGGTCCAGGTGCTTGGGGCCGTACATCCATGCGGGAGACCCAGAAGCTTCTGGCTCCTTGTTTATGTGTGGCCCAGACCCAGCTGTTGCAGCCATTTGGAGAGTGAACCAGCAGATGGAAGATCACGGTCTCTCCTTCTCTCTCTGTAACTCTGCCTTTCAAATAATAAAATCTTTTTTTTTTTTTAAAGCCCAACATCAAAGTAGATTTAGTTACAAGACCTTTATGCAATTTTTTTAGAAAAAAAAAAGCTATAAAAGAACATGTTAATGAAAGCTCATGTTTGGGTTATATGACTACCAATCTTTATCCATTTCTACCAAGTCTCTCTTTATTTAAAAATAACTGATTAATAATCATGATGGTATACAGTAAATGTTAGTAGCCTATTTGCAGGCCAAAAGTCAACCTGACAGAGACTAAAGTGCTTGTGTAAAGCACCTGCCTACTGTGCTACACTGATAATAAGTCTGAAAATGTGAGGGTAGTGCTAATCCTAAAGAGGAAGAAGGACTGATACTACTTGACAATATTGATCTGTTTTTAAATTGATTTTTTTAAAACTGTGCTGTAACACATGATTATAACCACCTATTTTGTTTCATCTGGAAAAGTAAAACTCTGAGGGTATATATAAACCATTTTATTCCCTGGCCATATATTGATAAGCCCTACTTTTTTTATAGAAAGCTTTTATTTAATAAGTATAAATTTCATAATTACAACTTTTGGATTATAGCAGTTCTTCCCCCACTACCCGCCCTCCCACCCCCAAACATTCCCTCCTCATACTCTCTGATCCCATTCTTCATTGACATTCATTTTTGATTATCTTTATATACAGAAGATCAACTCCATACTAAGTAAAGATTTCAACAGTTTGCACCCACACAGACACACAAAGTATAAAGTGCTGTTTGAAGACTAGTTTTACTGTTAATTCTCATAGTACAACACATTAAGGACAGAGGTCCTACATGGGGAGCAAGTGCACAGTGACTCCTGTTTCTGATTTAACAATTGACACTTTTATTTATGACATCAATGATCACCTGAGGCTCTTGTCATGAGCAGCCAAGGCTTTGGAAGCCTCTTGAGTCCACAAACTCCGACATTATTTAGACAAGGTCACAATCAAAGTGGAAGTTCTCTCCTCCCTTCAGAGAAAGGTACCTCCTTCTTTGATGGCCCCTTCTTTCCACTGGGATCTCACTCACAGAGATCTTTCATTTAGGTCATTTTTTGCCACAATGTCTTGGCTTTCCATGCCTGAAATGCTTTCATGGGCTTTTCAGCCAGATCTGAATGCCTTAAAGGCTGATTCTGAGGCCAGAGTGGTGTTTAAAGCTCTATGTTTTAAACCTCGGTCCATTTAGCAACATAAGAATTGAAAATATAAACTAAGAAACTCAAAAGGCAGGAGTGTTTCTAGTTACAAACTGATCTGGTATGAAAATCAATTTAATAAAAACAGTAACATTTAAATAGACTAAACCATATAAAACACATTGAAGTTATCTATATATCCAATAATATAGAATATATGATTAAAACAAATATGAAAAGAGCTTAAATATTTTATTAACATAACAGGTATTTTTATGAATGTAGTATCTGAAAAGTTCATAAATTGTAACACAAAATAGTGCTCTTAAATTCTGTTTTAATTTATAAGAACTGCAGCTAAATGTAACTTACCATTGTTATGTGTACCTTATTTTGGAATGGTAAAGATGCATATTTTAAAAATATTTAACAAAGCACTGCTTACTGATATTTAATATACCTTTATTTTGAAAATCCAACTTCCAAAACAAATACTTTAAAAGTGACTTGTGCCTGAAAAAGCAATGATCTAGAAATATGTGAGGTCAGAGGACCCTCATCCTATAGGCTAGTGTTAAAGATGACCGGTTATCTAGCTTAAAAGTCTGACTGTTGATATACAATTTAATACTTTATCCCTTTTAGTATTCTTTTTTGTTCTACTTAATACTATTGGTTGAACTCTGTAATTAACACACAATTATTCTTAGGTGTTTAAATTTAACTGAAAAGTAATCCCTGTTAAATATGGGAGTGGGAATAAGAGCGGGAAGAGATGTACAATTTGGGACTTGCCCCAAATGATGGAGTTAGAAATGTGCCAGGGGATTGCAATACAATCCTATCAAGAGTGCATGTACCAATGCCATCTCACTAGTCCAAGTGATCAATTTCAGTTCACAGTTGATCATACTGATAGGTCTAAGAGTCAAAGGGATCACACAAATAAGACTAGTGTCTGCGAATACTAGCTGATAGAATAAAAAAGGGAGAGAACGATCCAACATGGGAAGCGGGATACACAGCAGACTCATAGAATGGCAGATGTCCTAAACAGCACTCTGGCCTCAGAATCAGCCCTTAAGGCATTCGGATCTGGCTGAAGAGCCCATGAGAGTATTTTAGGCATGGAAAGCCAAGACACTCTGGCAAAAAAACAAAAAACAAAAAACAAAAAACAAACAAACAAAAAAACCTAAATGAAAGATCTCTGCAAGTGAGATCCCAGTGGAAAGAATGGGCCATCAAAGAAGGAGGTACCTTTCTCTGAAGGGAGGAGAGAACTTCCACTTTGACTATGAACCCTGTCTGAATAAGATCGGAGTCGGCAAACTCAAAATGCTTCCATAGCCTTGACAACTCATGACTAGAGCCCAGGGTGATTACTGACACCATAAACAAGAGTGTCAATTTGTTAAGTCAACAACAGGAGTAACTGTGTACTTACTCCTCATGTAGGATCTCTGTCCTTAATGTGTTGTTCAATTTGAATTAATGCTATAACTAGTACTGAAACAGTATTTTACACTTTATGTTCTGTGTGGGTGCAAACTGATGAAATCTTTACTTAATATATACTAAATTGATCTTCTGTATATAAAGAGAATTGAAAATGAATCTTGATGGGAATGCAATGGGAGAGGGAGTGGGAGATGGGAGGGGTGCGAGTGGGAGGGAAGTTATGGAGAGGAAAAGCCATTGTAATCCATAAACTGTACTTTGGAAATTTATATTTACTAAATAAAAGTTAAAAAAAAGTCAAAAAGATGAATTAAGCTGTTAAACAGATAACAAAGTTTTTAACTTGTAGCTGCTCCTGGTGGGAGTTTGATGCAACAGCTAAGGTGCTGTTTAGGACACTCATATCCTATAATGGAGTGTCTGGGTTCAAATCCCAGCTCTGCTTCTGACTCCTGCTTCTTGCTAATGTGTATCCTGAAAGGCTGCAGGTGATGGCTTATGTATTTGGGTCCTTGGCGTCCACTGGGGAAGCCCAGATAAGGTTCCAGGCTCCTGACTTCAGCCTGGCCCTACCCTGGCTGTTATGGGCATTTGGAGAATGATCTAGTGGATAGAAGAGATCTGTCTCAACATATCTGTGTCTCCCATGTAGGTGGCTGGAATTGGAAGTGGAGTCAGGACTCAAACCTGGGAAACTCTGATACAGAATGTGGATATCTCAAGCATGCCAGCCCCTTCTTAAAAATTTTTCAATTAATGAATGGGTTAACAACTCACAAGTTCATTTTAAATAAAGCCACTAGATTTCCTCATCAGCTTTTATTGTTAATGCCCTAAAGTATATGTGTGTGTACATATGTATTTCCATGAAAGAAACCCTTCTAAAATATATTTCCAGTTATCTTATTTGGGCCATTTTCTATAATATATTCTAGTATTAGAATTTTGTTTAAAGTTTTGCTTAAAGTTAAAAATACATCTCGGCACCAGTGCTGTGGTGCAGTAGGTTAATCCTCTACCTGCAGCGCCAGCACCCTATATGGGCACCAGTTCTAGTCCTGGCTGCTCCTCTTCCCATTCAGCTCTCTGGCCTGGGAAAGCACAAGACACCCTAAGTGTTTGCACTTCCACACTCATGTGGGAGAAGCTCCTGGCTCCTGGCTTCAGATTGGCACAGCTCCGGCCATTGTGGCCATTTGGGGAGTGAACCAAGGGATGGAAGACTTTTCTCTCTGTCTCTCTCTTATAGTCTGTAACTCTGCCTCTCAAATAAATAAAATCTTAAAAAAAAATTAGATTTCTTTCAGACTGCTTAAATTACAAAAAAAGGTCAACCAGCTTTATAATTTCTGAGAATATTTTAGAGAATATTTATGCATATTAATCACTTAAGAATTTTAATTAAAATTAAGTAAAACCACATAGTAACTTAGTAGTCAAGAAGATTCTTCAATGGGGCCGGTGCTGTGGTGCAGTGGGTTAAAGCCCTGGCCTGAGACGCCGGCATCCCATATGGGTGCTGGTTCAAGTCCCGGCTGCTCCTCTTCTGCTCCAGCTCTCTGCTATGGCCTCGGAAAGCAGTAGAAGATGGCCCAAGTCCTTGGGCCCCTGCACCCACGTGGGAGACCTGGCAGAAGCTTCTGGCTCCTGGCTTCGTATTGGCTCAGCTCTGGCTGATGTGGCCATTTGGGGAGTGAACCAGTAGATGGAAGACCAGTCTCTCTCTCTCTCTACCTCTCTGTGTAACTCTGTCTTGCAAATAAATAAAAATAAATCTTAAAAAAAAAAAAGATTCTTCAAAGTATAAAGTTCAACAATACCTTTGTTCTTTGGATCACAATTTACCTGGAACAATCCCCCCACCCCCCCACACACACACCAAGCGGCTTGAAAGCAAGGCATTCTGATGAATGGTGAAAGTTTAAGCAAAAGTAGCTACTTTGCTTCAATGTTTTTTTCCTAAAATTTTTAAAGTTTACACATTCAAACACAGAAATACATTAATTCAGCAACTCTAAGATGGAATATGTGAATATCAAGAGTTTTACAATATTTTACCTGTCCCAAGGAGCAGAAGTCTCAAAAGATTCTCCTAATACATAGTATTCCAAACCCAAGTCCTGTTAAGACACACACACACACACAAAAGTCAAGATACTACAAGGATGTACAAAGATCAGTAATATTGTTAGCACAACACCTGACACAGGATAAGAACTCAAATATTTTTCCAGTGAATGGACCCTCTATGCAGAAAAAGACTATGTGCTTGCAAAAAATACTAGCAGAACTGCTTTAATGGCCTAATAAGTAAATCAGCAAATATCAAAAATTATTCATCAAAAGCAAAAGGGTAGATGAGTGGGAGTTTAAAAGGAGAGTTTGGAAGAAGATATTTTCCTTTCTTAAAATTAACTTTTCCTTAAGAATAAATTTAGGCCAGCGCCACGGCTCAGTAGGCTAATCCTCTGCCTGTGGCGCCAGCCCCCCAGGTTCTAGTCCCGGTTGGGGCACCGGATTCTGTCCCGGTTGGCTCCTCTTCCACTCCAGCTCTCTGCTGTGGTCCGGGAAGGCAGTGGAAGATGGCTCAAGTACTTGGGCCCTGCACCCGCATGGGAGACCAGGAAGAAGCACCTGGCTCCTGGCTTCGGATTGGCATAGCGCGGTGGCCGTAGCAGCCATTTGGGGGGTGAACCAACGGAAGGAAGACCTTTCTCTCTGTCTCTCTCTCTCACTGTTTAACTCTGCCTGTCAAAACAAAGAATAAATTTAGAAAGTACAGTGTTTTTCTTTGAAGTGACAGGAGAGAGAGAAGATCTTAAAGTACCTTTGCTAGGAAAATACTTTACAGTGTACAAGACGAAAATACTTTGTGGTGCCAGCATCCTATACAGCCAGCAGTTCGTGTCCTGGCTGCTCATCTTCCAATCCAGCTCTCTTCTAATGGCCTGGGAAGGCAGTTGAGGATGGCCCAAGTACTTGGGCCCCTGCACCTATGCGGGAGACCTGGAGGAAGCTCCTGGCTTCGAATCAGCCAGCTCTAGGCCTTGTGACCATTTGGGGAGTGAACCAGTGAATGGAAGATCTCTCTCTGTCTTTCCCTTTCTCTGTCTGTAACTCTGCCTCTCAAATAAATAAATCTTAAAAAAAAAAATAATAACTCTAGCAAACACAGAAGACAATTCAGAATCCTGAGTTTGTTATAGCCAAAGTACCAAAAAAAAAAAAAAAAACTAAATAAAGAAATAAAATTTCAAAAGAACAATTTCATATAAGTAATTTTACAAGATGTGAGATTATTATGACTCACAAAGTTTCTCTTAAGTAGAAAATCTACAGTTAGGAAATGTTGGCACAAGTGCGGGTGGATTACTTTTCAAATTCTATACAGTAATCATCACCGGTGAACCAACAGCTACTTATAATGAAGTCAAATATCACTTTTTAAAGACATGGTTAAAGATTTATATATCTTGGAAACATTATAAATCAATGCAAAATGTTGCTTATAAAATAGCTTGATCTAACAAAGTAATGATAGGAATGGCATTATTCTCAACTTTCAGAGAATGGCTCCATTTTTTTTTTAAGATGAGAAAGACATATTAAATCATTTTAAGTCCCTCAAAAGCATATACTGAAGGTTTAAATGGACTTCTGTAGATTCCTAGCTAATCCAGAGTGCATGTGAAAACGATATGCTAAATTAGAAGAGCTTAGATTTTAACAAAATAAAGACAGCTTCATTCACTCAAAGTTAAAAAAAAAGTATTATTCACAGCATAAAATAAATGGCAAGGCAAACAGGATATAACTTACTCGAATGTACGCAATGACATAGGTGAGTAAATAACCTCTCTGTCCATTATCTTCTCCGGCAGCCAGCCCACTGTAATTGAAGAACAAAATCAACACATGCTAAATGAACTAAGAAATATTTAAACTAACCAAACTGACATAGTACCTCAAGATAACTGCTTAACAGTTTAATATGTATTACTCTGCAACTCATTTTTTATCTTAACCTCATTTTTTAAGTATATCAAACAGGTGTCAAGAGATAAGTCTGCATAAGAAAAATGTGACAAAACTTTTAATATTTCAGTTTATTCATTCATTTCAAACTTTGTTCCACCAAATAAAACTGACTAATTTGAACTCAACTACTTCTCTCCACATTCTCAAAAGAGCAGTGCAAGAATTAGCCATGAGAACCAAGTTCAATAAAATGAAATAATTCCCATAAGCATAACATCCTTATAATTCCACACCTGAGCTCACATGATGGGTTGCAGTCAAAATGAAGGCTTAAAACACTGTATAGAGTTATCTTCAGGCTCTATGTAAAAGGTATATATGAAACAAATGAAGGTCATACTTAATTTAGGTCCTGTCCCCAAGAAATCTCATTGCATAGACACAAATATTCCAAAATCCAAACAAAACAAAATACTTCTGGGTCTCAAGCATTTTGGATAAAGGATATTTAACCTGTAGTAAACTGTTATTCATATCATGCTATTCATAATTAAAGAAGTGTGATAACTGAATAGGAACTCCCAAATACCAAAAAGTTTCTAAAATATTTGAGCATATAGTATTTGGGGTATTAGATATGATGTTTACTTTATGGAGTTTATTACTTAAATGAGAGAAAACACACCATCACAGAAATATTAAAGTTTATAAAGCAATGCACAGACAAGTGCAAGAGTGTAAGGTTTTATCACTGTAGACATATATAGCACCCTTTCAATTTGAAAATAATTTTACAGAAATTGTATTTGATTATCTATTTAGAATTAATCTCATATAACATATAATGCTGTTCAAGTACTTTGGTGGGTGAACATTCTTCTTACTTGAAAAGCCAATAAACAATAATAGCTTCCCAATACCTTTAGTAAGTATAGTTTTTAATTATGCTTTTTCGATTATAAAACAAATTAATGTTAACACACTTTAGTCTGCTAAAGGAAGAATCAAATCTGTTATGGCCTCAATTAACATCTTATAATTAAATTCTTTTTTTTCTCAAGTTTTGATGGATTTGGTGGTAAGTAAACAATATACTGTGAGGTTTCCTCATTTTATACAAATACTGTAAGGCAATTTCAGGCTAGAATATACAGGCTAAATCAGAATTTCCTCACAGTATTATATGTGGAGATATGCAAATTAGTATCATCCAAAAGGGATGGGAATGACTTGATAGGAGTAGCTCTGGAGTAAATGAGGATAAGGTATAATGAAATGAAGGGAACTATTTGTATAAATGGAATGTTCATGAACAAAGACAAAACTTAGGTCAAGCAGATGACAATGAAAAATAAGAGACAGAAGACAATTCTTGTCTGGGTATGAGGCTGGACACAGAGTTCTAAAACAAAAGGGAAACAAGTCAGAAAATTGCCATGGCAAGTCACGGAGGAAAACAACTACACAGGATAAATGTCAAAATCCCAGTCATGAATGCTGACAGGTAATGTTTATTCTGCTCAGCTCTTAGAGAAATTAAAGTGCATTATTAGCCAACATGGATAAAACAACCCAGGTAAGATTATCCAGTGTGTGGCTATTATATTCTAGCTGGGTCATATGTGTGCAAAGGTATTTATTTAAGAGTGGTGGAGTGGGACTGGCAGGCAAAGAGGAAAATTGGCTAACCCCTTAAAAAGTTCTGAATGGCTGGGACTACTTCATTAAAAATCATTAATTTAAAGCTAATGAGGTAGTGGGAATAGAAGATAAAAAGCAAGAGAAAATAAAAGTTAAATTCATTAGGGTCCTCATTCAAAATAAAATAATAAGCGACACTAACGTATGAAAAGTTTAGTAGAGAGAAATCTGGTTGTGCTTTCCTCTGGCTTATTATACAGAAAGAGAAAAGACTGTACACTGAGGACTGCACAGTGACAACATAAATAAAAAAATATGCCTGAATCCTCAGTGATGAGAACAAACTTAGTGCATACAGAAAACCAGGGAAAACAAGGACATTTGCTAGAAAACCAAAATAAGGTATTTCCAAGTATTAAAAAATCAAAATATTCCTAAGTCTTCTGACTAAGAACAATTTGTGTTGTTAAACAAGCAATATCTGCTTTTAGAAAGAGGAAGCCATTAAAAAGTACATTAAGAAATTAATTATAACTATGCCAGAGCAAATAATAAGCAAACAGTGAGGCCTCAATCATTGCCAAACTTTTAAACACTTTATCCTTGCTTTAGTATCTCCTTTACTGCAATCTATTTTTAATTTTAATTTTTTTATTTATATAAGGTGAACCAATTTCAGAATCAGACAGACTTAGGAGCATGATACTTCCTATCTTCTCCCCCTGCCCATGCTCCACCCTTCCTTCCTCCTAGATGAATTTGATATAAGCTTTGTTGAGAGTGAGAATTGCTGGAATTAAACCTACAGTTATGGGGCTCCAGTATCGGGATCTAAAGAGTGTTTGGTTCTACATTTTAAAGAAGACTCACTCATTTTTAAGCTGTAAACGGATGATATTATACGAGAATATAAGACTGGCATTACTGACACTTATGACAGCTGGTAGCTTAAACAAAACTGACAAAATGGTTCTGAAAAACATCTAAAGATGAAAATACAGTGTTTAATAGGTAGCACAGTAATTAGGCATAAATGAAGTAGAATACAAAATATTATGAAAAATACAGTATTTGGTTTAATTCATTCACTCTAGAAATATTTAACCAAGCATGTAATCTATACCAAGCATCAACAGTGATGTCCAAGAAAAGGCAGGTCATGACTTATAAACCTTACATGTGAGGTATGACAACAACCTACCACAGCCCAACTATGGAACTATGGTCCAGGACTAACTCCTAGAGATTTGCTAGCCTCTCTGAATTGTAATTATGATTATAGATTCTACAAAGTGCAATTCTCATTTGTATGGGTGTGTATGTGGGTGTGAATGTGAGTGTATGTGTATGTGTATGTGTATGTTGGGGGGTGAGTGAGGTAAAACTAAGCAAATTTAACCTTATATACAGTGATTCAAATATTAACACACAATGGCCTTTTTGATTACCATTTCACGAGATACTTTGCAATCCCAATTAAATATTTAAGGAGCAATTTTTTAAAGTTGACTAATATTTAAGGTTAAAACAGAAAAGATTTTAATTTATATCTCATGTGTTTTAAGAAAAAAGGAAAAAACTCTAATCAAATTACATATTACTTAGAAACTCAAAGTAGGTATACACAGAGACCTAAATTCCTTCTGGGAAGGAACGCATACACATTCCAAAAATTCAAACTAAAATGAGATGATGTGAAACTGAAGCCATCTGGACACTAAGTAAATCTTTATAGCACAATTATTATTAATTATTTTAGCTAAAATATCAGTAATTCTGCCAAAATGTACTACTAGAGGAGAAAAAGTGAGAGATTAACAAACTTTTATCTTTTACTAAAGAACTTCCACTAGCTGATTTTAGAGTAGGGTAAAAAAGTGAGAGATTAAAAAATAAACTAAAAATTAAGTTTTCTGATTAAAACCTTTCCCCCAGTAATTACATTGCATTTTAACACAAAGTTCAGATAATTATGGAGGAAAAGGGCTAACATGGAAAAAACACATAAATAAGTGGGGTATTTAAAGAAATATGGCTTAAAAATTAAGTGTTCACTAGCTTTCATGAGAAAAAACAACAAAGTGATAAAAGGAAATATTTATGAAAAACTCACACTAAGCATAATTTATGTATTTTAATCTCTAAAGTAATAAAAAAAAAAGTAAAGACAGATATCCAGAAAGCTGTTAGTTCACGTACTTAAAAAGGAAAGGAAAAAAAAATAAGTCCTGATAAATGGCATTTTCACTATGGTTCTCATCGATCAGTCTTATAATCCATCAAGCAGACAGACAGAAACCACCCCATCATTATTCAGTTGGTTATAGATGTGAAATGTTTTCTGTTTCTTTATACTAGCACAAAACAGTAAGTGACAGGGGGTGGAGTACAGATAATTTATCAAATACCTTTGATTAAACACAATTTCCTTTTAAAAACACACTAATCGCATGGTTTATACATACATTATCATAACTAAAGAGTAACATGACAATGAATTTTTTTCTATTTTACTCTAGCACAAGAAATAATAAAAATCACAAAATTGGCATTAATATAAAAATCCAGGAAAAATGTAGTAACATTTAATATATTATACTATGAATAGACAAATAAGAGTAGTACATCAATCAAACTTACAAATTTTGGAAATAAAAACAGTATTTTAAATTTACTATCATAAATTCCCACATCTTTAACACTAAGATTAACAACTGCGTGGAGACTATCTGCTCAGAGAAATTAATGACTAGTACATTAATAACTGCTTGGAGATAACTAGAATTTTAGCGTAACTCTCTCTTGGCATTATGAACTTAAAAGTCATACCCAAATTTTGCAGCAATATCATATACTTGTTTTTCATGTTGAAGAACTTTCTCACGGTCCCCCTCAAACAATAATGTGGCTACACTTAGCTGATTTGGATCGAATCCTTTAAACTACAAGAAATGAAACAAAATGTTATGATGATAAATGCGTCAAGTCTACAAAATAGTAAATTAAAATACATTTTGTTCTTTCATTTCTGATCTGGGCTCAAATAAACCAACTTCTTAAACTGAACTTTGGAACTTTATATATCATGCAAGAAAAAATTTTAATATACCTATTCAGGTCATTACAATATAACAAAACTACTTAGCACAGGAAAAATAGTTTATTTCGAAACATGCTACAGTGTTAACCATAATGACATACTGGTATGCTAATATTATAAGTAATTTTGTCAGAATTGCAACTGTAGTAAATAATAATAATAAAAACCTCTACAAAATAATAGAAAAAAGTAGCCAGCTATAAAGGGGAAAGGGTAAAAACTAACAGCATCCCTATATGCTAACAATAACTCCCCATTAAATATTTTCAAAAGAGTTCTTGGGAATACAATTAGAATACCTAACAATAATCTCAAAAATAATATACAACTGCATTTGTAAAACATGTCTTAAAACGATGAGAAAGATATATATTCTTGAAAGTATAAACTAAATATTATAAATCTGTCAATGTTCACCCAAATTAAAATACCAGCTTATTCCAATTCTAATAAAAACTCCAATGGACTTTCTAAAATGATGAAGTTTCTAAAATTTTTCTAAAATAATAAACAGGCACGGGGTGGTAATAAGGAAAATTCTAAACAAGAGGGAAAACTAAACTTATAATAACTGAATTCATTTACAGTTTCAAAAACAAGAAGGTCACTACAAAGAGTTGGATACATTAAAAATGGAGTCTACTTCAATTAAAAGTCTAAGAAAAGCAGAGATAGCGAAAAGTGCTGACACAACTAGCTACTAGAGGAGTAGGAAGTAAAGATGAATGCAGATTTTTATCTCATGACAGAAAATTGAAATAAATTAAAATAATAACAAGGATACTTTTTAAGACTTCTCATTTAGCACAACAGAGAGAGAAAGAGAATAAAATGACCCTGACTGTACATCGGGAAAAGGAAGGCTTTTTTAAGCTGTGCAGTAATTAAATAATCACAAGAAAAGCAAAATTGAAATTTTAGCACCAAAAAGCAAAATCTCTAAAAAGGGAGATTGAAAAGAAAAACTGTTTACAACATTTATGATAAAGGTCATCTAATGATTTCATTACTCAAAGGGCACATATCAAAGCACCAGGAAAAAAACATGAAGCTGTCACTCCTGTGAAAATATTCATACCCAATTATTACACCCCCCCAAATTACATCACACCCAAAAATTACATGTAGAAAATACAGGGAAGTGTTTAGTCTCACTGGAGTATCAAGAAACATCAACTAAAGTACAATACTATTTTCTCTCCTCTCCAGTAAACTTGAAACATAAGGCAAAAAACTCCATGTGCCATAACAAGAATACAACAAAAAGCTGACAGACACATATCATTAGTGGTAACAGAAGCTGGTGTAACCCTTGAGGAAAGCAATTTAGCAATCAGAAGCAAAAACAACAAAAATCTCTGCTCTTATTTTACCCCTAAATATCTACTATAAAGGAAAAAAAAACTTTAAAAAATGTTGGACACATTAAACTGGTACAGTGTTATTTTTAAAACTATCAAATTGGAAAAGAATCACACATTTCTGACACTGAAGGAGCAAAGTACCTGATGAAGTATTGATTCCAACATGAAAAATATTAATTATGAAATATACACGCAATATAGAAAAACATCTTTACAGCTGTTGTCAGTGAGGAGAAGGCAGGAAACTAACACCCTAATAAACATTTAAAATTTTAGCATTTTACACAAATTCTTACCTTTGTGATATAAAACTTTTTTAATCCATCCAAAAAAGATGTAAAAATAGAGGAAACCTGAGGTTTAAGAGCATGACCTAAGAAGGAAGAGAAAAAGTTTATATTTAAATTAATAGCAGATTCTGTGCTTTTTGATTAAGAGGCTACTTCAACTAAGCATTCTATAAGAAAGTTTTCATGACTTTAATTGCTTAATTTTCCCTATTGTGTGTGTGTGTGTGTCTTCATCTTTTATCTTTATCACCTTTCAAAAGTTACAAACAACAATTTATTTATAAAACTGATTCTCGGTTTGTTTGTTTTTAAGTCAAATTACTATATGTAATTAATACTACACGTAGTTTAGGCTATCCTTCAATGGTATGGTTAATACATAGTAAAACTACTTCATTAATTTTTACTTCATTAAAAATACCCAATAAATGTTGGTTTTATTTTTATTTTTTTAATTATACAGAAACCACTCAGAACTATAACCAAACCAAAGCCAAGTTGAAGGTTGTTTCTTAATTAATTCTTAATTCATCCAGAATTCTTGGCATAAAACTAGCAACTGCGTCCTTAATTACACCCAGAGAGTTGAAATTGCCAAAATAACATAAATGGTGTCTCAGAGTCTGTTAAATTAACATCTTTGCCTGCGAATTAAGCTTAATTGAGTGAAAACCTTTTACTGTTTTTCTCATTGTTTTCAGAGTAGCAACTTCTCAACTCTCATGACTGCTACATTTAAGAGTCACGCATCTGGCCTAATGTCATGAGCCCAATTCAGAAAAATGTGGCATATTATTTAGACAGAATTTTATAAATAATTTTAAAGTTTCTAGTAAATTTAAAATGTCTCCAAACAAAAAGTTTATTTTTTTAAATAGACTTTAAGGTTTTGGAATTTTTGTATAAGGCCTTCCTTTAAAATAAGTATAAACTAGCAGCTTATGAAACAACTATGATTAACAGTCTTTTTCTCTGTTCATCTAATTTTTAAAGTGAGAATTTGAACCTCTAAGATATAATTACATTTTTTTGCTGAACTGTGTCACATAAAAGACCAAATAATATGTCTTAACCAGAGTCTAAAAATTAGATAACATTCTATAACTGAGTAATTAAAATAAAAAGCAAGCAAAATGAAATGTAGATTAGATGGAGTCAATGTAGCAATCTTTTTGAGCTCTTAAATCACACATAAGAATTGTGGATTTTTTTTCTTTTATTATAACCTAGCATAAATGATGTTTATTTAAAAAAACTTAATTTCTAGTATGTATAAAATCAGAAGTAACATCATCAAAACATTCACTTCCTATCCCAATTGGAACTCATCCTATATTAAAAACTGGAAATAAATACATAAACATACCTGTTGAGTGTGTATATGTTGGTTTCCTGCAAGTGACTGAAACTGTCTATTCCTTATACAAAGGTCTGATTCACACAGTTTTATACATGAGGATTCCAAATGGTACTACTATAATATGAAATAGTCCTTAAGGGCAAAAATGTTCACCTTTACCCTTGAGATTTATATGCACAATTTTAATTAACACTAGTGAGAGTTAGTCATACATATCCCTTATATTGAGTTGACATGATAGCTTTGAAAAATAATTATAAATGTGATACTGACTTTTAAGTATTAACTAGAGGACACTGTTATCTTTTTTATTTTTTTCTTAAATTACATTCTAAGTATATCCTGGATATTACATTTTATCTTATAGCAAACTTGTTTCCAAACTTAGGAGCTGGACAGTCTGATTAGTGAAATTTTGTATTGCTACAAATATCTATGTTTCAAGTAAGTGATTTGAGACAGTGGAAAAAGTCTTAGTCTTTGGATCAGATAAATTTGGGTTTAACCCCAGCTCTAATACATATGACCTATGGACTTAAGCCAAAATATTGAGCCTCTGAGTCATCTATAAAATAGAAATTTATCATTGAAGAATAGTTCTGAATAGAAATTTGATATAAACTGTGCTACTGATAATGTGCTCAGTGCAATACTAAGAGCTATCTAGGATCTATTCATCCTCTTTGGCCAGCTCAATGATTAACTCAACCAACATGTTAAGTGCCTATTATGTGGTAACTGCAACAGATACAAAAGTGACTAGGAAACATCTCCTAAATTTGAGAAACATTAGCCTCCTTGGGAGATCTATATATCTATAGATCATTCCAATATAGTGAGAACGAAGTTCAATATATATATTAAGGGTTGTTGTACCAGAAGTAGGGTTATAATAAAACTATTAACAGCTAATGATGTGACTTGCATTTTGTTAACAATATGGTACAAACACTGATCAACTACTATATGGCTGATGCAGGGTCCTGGACCCACGTTGTTGTGCTAAGCACTACTCCTTTGAGTTGCTTGATCATGAAACCATGACAGGATAGATACACAGATGAAAATGCTTCAATGGAACTTTCAAATAGGTTACAGTCAGTCAAGAAGCATGGTCAGATTGTATTTCCAAAAAATTATCATGGTGGCTAAGTAAAGGGCAGAGGGTGGTGGGACACAGTCAAGACCAGGGGTGGAGGGCAGGCATTGTGGCATAGCAGGTTAAGCTTCACTCCCATGTGAACACCAGTTTGAGTTCCAGCTGTTCCACCTCTGATATAGTTCCCTGCTAATGCGCCTGGGAAAGCAGCAAAAGATGGCCCAAGTGTTTGAACCCCTGCCACTCACGTGGGAGACCTGGATGGAGTTCCAGGCTCCTGGCTTTGGCCTGGCCCAGCTTTGGCTATTGCAGCCATTCAGGGAGTGAACCAGTGGATAGAAGATTTTTCTATTTGTCTCTCTCTTTCAAATAAAAAAATAATTTTTTAGAGGAGAAAAAAAAGGCAAGAGTGTAGGATCAATCACAGAGCTAAAAGAGTGTTATGTATAGCAATCAGAATGTGGAGCAGAGATGATAGATGGCCAGAGAGAACTTTTCTTAAAAACCTTCATTTTAAATTGTTATACATCCCAATTACAAGTAAAATCTGGCCAAATCACAGTTAATTTCACAAAGGTGCCTATGTCTAACACAATTTGCTACAAGAATAACATGTAAAAGAATAATGCAGTCATTAGCTAGATTCATAGCTCTCTTTAGACTTAGATATCTAAATGCAGGCCAAAACAGAGGCTTGATTTTCACTTGATTTAACTGTTTCATTTATGGAATACATATATTTTAAATTTTATCAATAGCATAGTAATTTGAAAGTAGTTTACTTAAGGAAATAAACAACTGTGACTCAGAAGAATCTAATTTAAAAAATAACTCTTCACATCTAATTAACTTGACTTCCTTAAATTTCTATCTAACTATCATCATTCTCCCCTAAATAAAAAGCTCTCTTTAGACATAATAAACAAATGCCTACCTAACAGCCTTTAGTACTTATTATTGAGCAAACACTTCCATAGCTTCAGGAACTATTTTGAGGGTATTTAAATTTTACAAACTTAAATCCCAAAGTAAATTTCAACATATGGAAAAAAAAACCCAGAAGCAATAAAAGTAGAATTAAAAAGATGATAAATTATGTCAGATGTTTAATACTTTTGACAAAAATGGAAAGGAAAAAAATTGGTTTCAGACATAACTGCCTACTGAATTCTCCACCTAACCATGCTACTGATGAAATACCACTGGCTGTAATATTCTTAAATATCAGTGGCTGTAATAGTCTTTCCCTAAAACCATCACTTCTTTATTTTTAAAAAAAGAAAAGATATATTTATTTCTTTGGAAGTCAGAGTTACACAGAGAGAGGAGAGGCAGAGAGAGAGACAGAGAGAGACAGAGAGAGAGAGAGAGAGAGAGAGGTCTTCCATCCAATGGTTCACTCCCCGGTTGGCCAATCCGAAGTCAGGAGCCAGGAGCTTCTTCTGGGTCCCCCACGTGGGTACAGGGGCCCAAGGACTTAGGTCATCTTCTACTGCTTTCCCAGGCCATAGTAGAGAGCTGGATTGGAAGTGGAGCAGCTGGGTCTCGAATCAGCACCCATAGGGGATGCTGGCGCTTCAGGCCAGGGCGTTAGTTAACCTGCTATGCCACAGCACCGGCCCCAACACTTCTCTTTTTAATACTGTTATTCAACCTACCTAATCAATCAAATAAAAATCTTCCCTTTCATTTTATCTTCCACTGTCGCTCCCCCATTCGCGGAGGAACGACACAGGACCCTGCGCTGTTCTTTTGTCTGCTCGGCCCTCCCCGGGTTTGCTGCTGGTCTTTCCCAGGTTGGCTGCCGATCCTTCCACCTCCGTGGAAGGGTGGGCCCCCCTGCCACTTTCCCCACTTCCGCGGGGGAGCGGCACACCGCCGGCCGGCTCTCTAGGGGGCTGCTCAGGTGTTCCTTCAGATAGATGTTCCTGGTGCATGTTATCTCTCTCCTCCTTTATAGTCCTCTTCCACCAATCCCAACTCTGCTACCCACACGCCGAGTATGCCGCTCTCCTCCAATCAGGAGCAGGTCCTGCTGTTTATTGGTTGAACCCCTGCAGCTGCGTAGAAGCTGTTTCCTCCTCTCCCAGCGCCATATTGTGGGAGAGCAGATGCATAGAATAAGTCTTAATTCGAGTAACTTAGTCTAGTCTGAGTTGCTCCCCACATTCCACAACTAGTCGGCAAACTAAATTTTTCAAACTCCATCTTCTGCTATCTCCATTGATGCTACCTCGGTTCAGATCCCCCAAAATTGGCTTTTTGAATTGTTTCACCTCCTAGTGTCCCTATGTTACACTTGTGCCTTTCTAATCTATCCTGTATAATACCGCCAGAATGAGCTTTCAAAGATGTAAAGCCAATCAATTTTATTCGCTCTACAAAGGAATCCTACCACAATCGTTTCTCAGTCTTTTGGCTAGGATCAAGTGTAGAAATCCTACTACAGCTGACAAGATAAAATCTCAATCAATCCTGCAAAACCCTGGTCCACCATCTATCCTCTGCTTGACTCATACAGAACTATCTTGACAGTACCCTAAAGCAAGCCAGGGAGATCTCTTGCTGACATGGAAGCAAGTTTAGCTGGGGGAGAGGAGCTCTTAGGGAAAGCTCTGTTCACCTTCAAAGATTTAGCTCAACTACCACCCTCCTTTAAAATTCTTTTCTGACACCACACATCAAGGAAAATCAAGTAGAATCAACCAGCCCTGCATGTGTGGCCTACAGTGTCCAGTGCACTCATCTATTACAGACCCTCCAACACAGCTACACTCGTTCCATCTGTCTTCACACTGAGAGCTTCTTGAAGGACAGGAATCATGACGTCCACCTTGCTAGCTCTGCACAGTGCTCTTCCTACTGCTGTTTAGAAATTTTTGTGGCTAAAAGAGCAGGTCCTCTTCAGAAGACCCTCTTCTCATTGCAGAGAATCTGTTATGCAAAATTAATGCTGTTTCCTTGAAGAAGCTTTGTTTCATGTTAATTAACAGTACACAGAACTGCTAAAGGGGAAGAGGGTACACTGCAGGGAGAAAGCTGAATGCAGGAGGGGGTCTGGTTATGTCACCTCAAGTGTGAATGTGCCAGTGCAAGGAGGCAACAGTATCTTGTTACATCCTGAACACAAAGCCACTCAGTGTTTCAAGTACCTATTAAATCCTTTATGATGTGAACTACTTGCATCAGACCTATTTTTAAAAAATATTTTTTTATTTATTTGAGAGAGAGAGTTATAGAGAGAGAGGGAGAAAGATGGAGAGAAAGGTCTTCCACCTGCTGGTTCACTCCCCAGATAGCCACACTGGCTGGAACTGGACTGATCTGAAGCCAGGATTCAGGAGCTTCTTCCAGGGCTCCTATGTGGTTGCAGGGGCCCGAGCACTTGGACCATCTGCTACTGCTTTCCCAGGCCATTAGCAGAGAGCTGGACTAGAAGAGGAGCAACTGGGACACACACCAGAGCCCATAGGTGATGCTAGCACCCAGGTAGAGGCTTAACCCGCCACGCCAGCCCCTAGATCTATTTCTATTTTTCTAATGCAACAACAACAACAAAAACTCTCAATTTTCAAAAAATAAAAATAAAATTCTCTTCACTTACCAAACTGAAACTGCTGGTTGTCCATGAGGCGAATAGATGCAGGAGCACATCTCTGTTTAAAACAGAAAACAATGAGTTGCAAATTTAATATAGTGAGAAGCTGGGTAAGTAGAATATGAGTATGATCTTTCTGTATTTAGGAGAATAAGAGCTTAGTGCCTAAGGATATATAAAGGAAAAGCCTCTTCACTCTGTAACTTTATGAAGACAAATAACATTCATGGCTTCTATAAAGTATTTGGTGAGGAGAAATCTACATATGCAATAGATAAATACAGACATAAATTACCAGAACTTTAATTTAAGGGCAACAGATCTGTTTAATGCTTTGCAAAGACCTATGGAAATACCAGGCCTCAAAGTAGATTATTTTAAAGCAAAGTAGAAATTTTACAACTAAAATCAGTACCTTGAGTCTTATGCCATTTTTAACTATATTGTGACACCATGTTCTTATACAGTTTTAAAATGAGGAAGCTAGTGATTGGAAATTTTCATGTGCCAAACACTTTAAAATAAAGTGTCGGCAGTGTCTTCTAACAGCTCTAGAAATTATTCCTTCTTTTTATTTTTTCTCATAATATATGTTAATATAAAAACCATCCAGCTTTCAGATTTCTAAGTTCTTTCCTGAAATGCTGAAGCATAAAAGTCTGTATCTAAAACTGTTCACAGTGTTACATTTATCCAAGCACACACCAAAACCTGGAAGAAAACTGAGAAAAGCAGAGATCGGCTTAGCATTCTAATCTCAAAACCCAAAACCTGAAATGTTCCAAAATCTGAAACTTTTGAGCACTAATGACACTCAAAAAGTTTCAGATTTTGAAGCATTATGGATTCGAGATTTCAATTAAGGATGCTCAATGAGTAAAAGTCCATGAAAATATTCCAAAATCTGAAAACATCAAAATCTAAAGTCCTCTAGTCCCATGCATTTCAGAAGATATATTAAACTTATATTCATATTAATTTTGTGATAAAAAAACACTACAATACAAACTCTAGCAAGGATAAAGTTGGCTACAATTCTCTTTAGATCTAAAATGAGCTGATCCCCAAATGAAATTTCTTTCCAATACAAATTTTCAGTATGGCTAAACTTTTACGAGGAAGCTGCCTTCAGATTGTAACATTTTGACAAATGCTATAAACTTTTTAAACACTAATTTTCCAATAGTATTTATCAATAAAATTTATATCAATACAAATTATTGACTCACTCAAAAGAACAAAATTTAGTACATACCTTAACTGTGCATTATATAACATTTCTGCTATGATTTGCTTTCAACTGAATATTTAATTTTTATAAAAATACAAATGCACATTTTATTGTGTCCAATGAAATGACTAACTAAAGTCTTGTTCTGAAGACTATACAGTTTACTCACCTTTGGTACTAAAGATGCAACTATTCAATCTATATTTAAAAAGTCACTTCCAGGTCTAAAGAAATAGTAATTTTACATATACAGGATAACAATAACCTATCACCTTGCATTTTAAAGAATCATATAGTTTGCAAACTACTTTCAAATGTCTGTATTTGACAGAGAAACAATCCTGACAGGGTAGCAGAACTGGCATTATCCCCATCGAACAGATGAGCGCACAGGAGTCAGTGAGGTCAAAAGACTTGCCCAAGGTCAGATATGACTGTGGAATAGTAAAGGTAGAAGGAAGAAGATATTCTGACTACAAGATAAGATTTCAAGTATACCAGAAAGCCTCCAAAAAAAATCACTTAAAACATATACACACAGCTTTAAAGTCATACTGGAAACAAAAATTATCTAATTCTCTTTATTTGCCGTTTTGTGGTCTTATTAAAATTGTAATAGTTTAAAAATGAAATTAGAAATATATAAGCTGAGTGGACAGTGAGAGAAAGAGACAGAGAGAAAGGTCTTCCTTTTGCCGTTGGTTCACCCTCTAATGGCCACCGCGGCCGGCGCGCTGAGGCCGGCGCACTGCACTGATCCGATGGCAGGAGCCAGGTACTTATCCTGGTCTCCCATGGGGTGCAGGGCCCAAGCACCTGGGCCATCCTCCACTGCACTCCCGGGCCACAGCAGAGAGCTGGCCTGGAAGAGGGGCAACCAGGACAGAATCCGGCGCCCCGACCGGGACTAGAACCCGGTGTGCCGGCACCGCGAGGCGGAGGATTAGCCTAGTGAGCCGCGGCACCGGCCCAAGCTGAGTAATTTTAAATTTTGATATAAAGACACCTTTTCTTTATAATTGTGTTAACATTTCTAAATATGTTACTACTTTCCAAAATACTAAAGGAAAATCAGTTTCTTCACATTTACAAGTTAAAATGTTTTCAGTAAAATGGGCATATCAACTTCTAATAAAACATGTGGAACCTGATTAGACCAAATATCTTTTCTTCATAAAACAGAATATTTATAAAACATGTATTTATATGCTTTAGTTTAAGCACACAAGTAAAATATGAGAGAGAATTCAGAGCATTGTCATTCTTATGAAAAAAAAATTTTTAATTCCTACAACTTGTTAATTCTATCTCCTACTGCCAACCAGATTCTACTTTACCTGTTGTCACTGGCAGAAGTTACTAATGAAAACAACAAACATAAGTAAAAATGTATCAGACCATGAGAGGCAATTATACTACACTTAGGATAGTAAATTTCTATTGGTATTTAATATCTAAAACAAAGACAAAATTCAGGCCTCAATTAAATCTTAAACCTCAAGGAACTTGCTCCATAATATAACAACCAATATTGGATTTTTAACTTATATTATTAACTTATATTATATTATTATATATATATTATATTATATATTATATTATTAACTTATTAACTTATATTGGATGTGATTTTTAAATTGACAGCTGAGTCATATATTCTTGTTAAACCATTATTCCTATTTATATTGAGGAGGCCCAGTAGGTGATAATAAAAGAATACTATTGAAAAAGGACTACTAAAAGCTAGAGAATGTTTTATATACTAGATAATGTTAAATTCATTTTTAATGTTGACTTTTTGAAAAATTTTAGTTCAAATTAGCAGCTTTAAAAGTCTCATTTTTAATAGTGCTAGATTTTTTAAGTACATAAAGTTTTTCAGTTATTGTTATCAGTAAATTCTCATAAATAAAACATTCAAATTTCAAAGTAGCATCTAGCCTGGTTTATGATTCACTTGGATCAATAGCTTGTCAATCACTGTACATCACTTTAGATATACAAGTTTAATTAGAATTTGCAATAAGTAAAAGCTACTACAACAATGGAGGATGTTTGACATAATAGCTAAAACACTGCTTGGAATGCCCACATCCATATTGAAGTGTCTGGGTTCAAGTCTGCTCCATTCCCAATTCCAGCTTCCTGCTAATTCACAAGTTGAGAGACAGCAGTGGTGGCTCAAGTAATTGAGTTCCTGCCACCCACACAGCAGGCCCAGACTCAGTTCCAGCTCCTGGCTTTGGCCTGCCCCAGCAGCAGTTGTGGTGGATATCTGAGCATTGAAGCAGATGATGTACATCTGTCTCTGTCTCTTTGTCTCTGTCTCTCTCTGCCTCTCAAATAAATAATTCCTTAAAAAAATTTTTTTTAATCAGTGTCAACACTCCTTTAAAAAAGGTTCCTCTCAAACAAATTAAACAAAAGTTCCTATAATCAAGACAAATATAATCTTACTATTTATAATAACATTAAATCTGAGTTGCCATATCTATTGTTAAAATTAGATTACTTCCATTCTTTAAATTTAATTTTGCAGGTTAAAAAAAAAAACTCACAAGATTGCCAATGAAAGTTAGAGACAGCACAAATTCTGAAACTTGAGCTCTACACGAACTCCTATGCACTCTAAGTATACCAGGTGACAGAACTGTATTCCATAAATAAAGAAAGGGGAATAAAGGTCCTTAAATTAAAGTGACCCCTGCTGGTAGGTGGTTAGAACCAACCTGAGAGGGAATATATATTTTAACCATTTTTAAGGGTGTGTTTGTGATAAATTCAAAGAATTTAGGAGCATTCAAACAAAAATCACTTACTCAAACAGGAGTTAGTGAAAAAATTATGTGCTCTTACTAGAATCTCAAATGTCACATACACTTTTTGTCTGAAAAGATATGAAAAACTTATTATGTACTAATTAATAACCATCATTATCTTTGTTTTCTTTGAAAAATAAAGAAATAAATAACAACACTGACCTCCAACTGCAGGTAAAAGACTCTTTTAGTCAAATTTCTGACAATTTCTCTCCATAAATATGTTGCAACCAGAAACTTACTTGAATATACAAAGATAATTAAAATGCTTATGGATAATGGAATTAAATGGTAAGTTTATTCTTGTGCAAAAATAATTTGAAATCCATGTATATGAGAGGTCTTCCAAAGGTTCATGGAAAATGAATGTTATGAAAACACTGTGCATGGACTTCAAAAACATGTATGCACCAAAATAAATTATTGTTAATTCCATTTTTCCAGGAACTTTTTTGAAGTATATTCATATAGCCTGAAAAGTAAAAAATAACTACTCAGATTAGTCTTATTTACTTATTAGTATTCCCTACACTAACATAAAAAAAAACCCACAAATTTATCAAATAATCTTATCCAAAAAATAGTCCCTATAGGAAACACATCTAAAGATTTCTGCAAAATCTGTTTTACTGGAACTAAGTCACAGTTTGATTTTTCATAGAGAAAAATGGGAACTAGTTACTGGCAATACAAACTCAATATTAACACACATATCAAATATCTATAGGATTTCTATTATTCTAATTCCTTAATAATAAATTAAAAAGTATAAGTACTGAATGGTCCTATCTCTGATACAATGGCTAAGGAATGAATCATCTTTAAACTGAAGAGGTCTCTTTCTTCAAGGAATAAATCAAATGTTCTATGCAGCTTCTAAACCAGCACACACTTCTAAGCCTAGTGACGATATTGGAGATGATCTACTAATTTCATATTATATGAAGAGCAAATGCTTCAGTCTGAAACCCTATGTGCCATGCTACACAAAAATGAAAACAATTTATC